ATTCATACATTTTGTACTTGCTGCCCTATCCATGCGCAAGCAAATGTCATCGGAAGGCTGCATGCTGATTGGTTATACGACAGGGCGTTGCTATGACTCTGATTGGACTGTGTATTTTTCGACACAATTGAGGATGTGTCCAGCCCACAATGCCATCCGGTTAGGTCCATCACAAAAAAGAACAAAAGTGCTTTCTCAAGTTGAGAATCACATTTTGCATGGGCCTTCTCATGTTTATCTTGTGAATTGCTCTCTAACAAACTTTTATTTATTCTTTTCCCGGACGTCTTTTTTTCTTAAACTGTTTACAATTTCGGCAAATTTTACTGCAGCTTTCCTGCTTTTCCAAATGCATCACGAGCTGCACTTATATTTTCTAATTTAAAATCTCACACGGGTAGCAACCATCAAGACTCTTAATTTCAGTGTCAACTACAAAATGCACTAAACGTCGCGCCACCACTACCTATTGCACAAATCTTGTAAAAAATTCGGAATGAAGAAATGCTTTTAATGAAATACCTATGGAAAATTATGGCTGATTTGCATAATGCACAAAGACCGCATTAAAGAAGAACGCGTTTGACAATGGACAACTCCAAATTCGTTGTTTGAAAGGATATTTTCACTTTCCTGAGAACATTTATATCTGCGGAAAAGGAATACGTGTTGTGAAAATGCCGTAAGAGGACTAACGACTTAAAATTGTTAATTATAATGAAAAAATAAATCGTATGTAAGTGTTTCAAACTTAATTGTATGCTAGATCTTTCAAAACCCATATGTACCTAGCAAAAATTATCCACAAACTGTCTTGCAAAAAAATGCCAGCGGTGCATGACTCAGATGTGGTGGTCGTTGGACACTGACCCAATGCGGGCATTTTTCTAACAAGCTGTCAGTTAATTTAAGGTACCTAATATGTTTCTAGATACAAGCGGAAAAATCTATAAAAAAAATATGAAAATTTAATTTTTGCCAACTCGTAATGCCATCTCCATTGGTTAGTCAGTCCATGTATGCGAATCAGAGGACAAGGTCTCGAATCAGTCCCAGCCTTTTCATTTGATGATCTTTCGACCAGAGTATTTTTTCTAAAACTGCTATAGTCAGTGGAGTTGACCTATGGATACCGCAACCAAGTTAGACATCCAATAAGTGCGGAAATGCATTTAAAGGTCAATTGATTGAAATCCTAATTGCATCGCATTTTTCCCTTCTTATAAACTTTATGTCGATTATGCGTTTAATCAAAAAAGTGGAAGTTCTCTTTTTTAAACAGGGTAAGTTTCTTACTGATTTTTTTACTTCCCAATCACGGATCCCATGGTGCTTATCAGGACATAACTTCTGTTGATTCAAAGTTAATGACTGAACTCGATGTATAAATGTTTGGTAGTCAGTTAACGTGAAATATAAAAGGTCACAAAATATTTACTCAATGCAAGCTTTCGTTGGAGACAGGAAATCGGAACAGACGAGGACAACGACACGTTCATTAACGACAAATTTTATAAATTTATTACACATTGTATCCTTGTAATTTGCTCTTCTGAAGGCCACAGGATCGCTCATGTATGCGTTGAAATGACTGCAAACTTGTCAGCAGCAAATTCTCTCCAGCGTGAAACAGACTCTGTCCTTCGAAAAGATGAAAAAGACAGGGAGGAAATCGACGCTAGGACAGAGTGCTCGCTAGTCCCGATCAGAGCGCATCCCGCATAATTGAGGCCGATGCTTCATTAAATGGCGAGGACCACTCCGCCCCTTTCAGATATTCTAGTTTTTACAGTTAAAAAACAGTGAGGTTAACTGCTTTGAGGGACTAGAACGTTTACTGTAAGAAAATCTGAAACCGGTTTCATAGATGATCCTTTAATGTATGATAATGGAAACCAAAGCTATTTACTTGGAAATGCTGCTCTGCAATATATTCTGTGCTTAGTTGCAGTTTGCACCAATATAGGAAGCCAAAGATAAGAAAGTTCGGGCAGGTTGATTATCAGAAATCACGACAAGGACAGTGGCTCTTTCCCTGTTGGTGTCGTAACCTAACCGGCTTATCGCCCGGCGGCGACTTGCGTTTAGCCAGTTTTGCCGCACATTAACACAGTATCCAGCGAAAACTTCCCTGTTGAAGTGTTCGACGGATATGCAGGCCAAAGTTGTAGCGTTGCACATAATTTCGACCATAAAAAGTAATAAAAATAGACAACAAATATCTTTTCCAATACAAGTGAAGAGACGAATTCTAGGAAGCACTCGTGAAGAAGGAGCCGAAACTGCTGTAACAAGAGCTTTATTCACCTGGCGTTTCGGGTTCCTAGTTGCCACAGCGTCTCAAGTCTCCGATCACCGAGTCAGACATAAAGTTCAATTCGCCAGCACAATTCCTGAAGAAAATTAAATGGGGTAAGTCACCTTCTAAATGATGTCATGATATCTTTCAATGTCACGTCCCACTTTGCTTCCATTTCACAGGGGACGGCTATCGTGACCACCAACTTACTTATACGAAACAAATAGGATGAAATAGAGAATCGTCTTGAACACGCTCATGCCCTTCAAATACTGAAGTTTTGAAAAAGGGAATACGACCGCTGGGCCAAGAGCTTTATTCGCCAGACGTTTCGGATTCTTGCTCGAATCCATCATCAGCGACAATAGCAGATACGGGTGGCTCATGCACGAGGGACTGCAGTATTTACAGGATGCGGTCGCCATGCTACCGCATACCCATGAAAATCCACGACTCCCTACTTTCCTCGGGGACTCTTGAACTTGGTGTGTTGATTGCTCGATGGCCGACATTCGCGTCGTTAATCGCTGCAATTTCATCACGGTGTTGACGTTGATATGATGACTGCACGACCATTGTTTGACCCGCCAACCCTGGGGTTGTGAGCATCGTTCGCCTGTGCGTCCCCCGAGTGGCTAATTACTCCGCCTAGTCGAAGTCTCAGCACCGAGTACGAACGGGGAAGGTCGTTGCTCTTGTTAATAGGCTAGAGGCCAGTGAACCATGACTCAAGCAGCTCCAGGCTCACGCGGTTGTCACCTCTTGAGAGAATTTCGGTTTCGTCAAATTTGCATGTGTGGCCGGATCTCGCCGAATGAGCCGCAACTTGAGAGCTGGCATCACTTTTCTGCACTGCTGCAGCGTGTTCGGCATTCGCGTTTGGAGCAGTCCTCCGGTTTCTCCGACGTAGTTGCTTTGTCCGCAACTGCGCCAGATTCGATAAACGACTCCAGACTTTTCTTCCTTTGGCAGCGGGTCCTTCGGTTTCATTAACTGACGCCTGATGGTTGCCTCCGATCAGCGTGCAACTCAAACCCCAAGTGGTGCGAGGAGGCAGCCCACAGCTCCCAAAACGTTCTCAACACATGGAAGGTGCTCACCAAAATTTGGGGTCCGTGCGGTTTGGTCTTTTGTCCCTTTTGTGTATGCACCGGTTGATGAAGTTGCGCGGGTAGCCCTTGGCTTTGGAACCCGTCGAGGGTATTGTAGTTCGGCAATCTTGTCTTCCGGCTAGCTGCAGTGCGTTCAGCCACGCTGACAGAACGTCCTTAGACAACTGCGTTTATGACTGACTGAGTGTTTGTTGTTGTTCAGTACTTGTGTCTAATTTGTCGCTTTGCTAAACTTTTTCGTCTTTAGGTTACCACAGTCTTTTGCGGCAGACGAGGACATCCAGAAAGGTCAACTGGTTGTTCTCCTCCTCCACTGTAAATTGTATGTCCGGGAAGACTGGATTGAGATGTTCTTTGAATGTCAACAGTTGATCCCGGTGAATATCGGCGAAAGTATCATCCACAGACCGGGCCCAGAACTTCTGTATGTGGTGTTGGAAGATCAGCGGCTCTAACCGTTGCAAGACCTCCTCGGCGATGAGTTCCGAAATCGGCGAACCCATCGGTGCGCCCTTCACCTGTTCATAGATTGTCCCGTCGAACGTGAAGTACGTCCTGAAACAGAACTTCAGGAACTGAAGGACTTGAGCGTGTCCACGGCGATCTCCGTTTCATCGTGTTTGCTTTATAGAAGCAAATCGATTCTCTTGATGGCCAGATCCTGGGCAATAGAAGTTAAAATGGACGTAACATCAAAAGGTTCCATGACCTCATTTGGATGGAGGCTTACCCCTTTGAGTTTTTCCAGGAATTGTGCTGACGAAGAGACCACGGTGTCTGACTCAACGGTCGGGAACTTGAGACGCCGGAACAGCCACTTAGCCCGTCCGTTCGTTTGAGTACCTTTGAGCGACACGATGGGTCGGAGAGGAGCGCCCTATTTGTGCGTCTTAGGGAGGCCATAGAATCGGGGCAAAGCCGTATATTGCGATCTCGCCATGCGCTCCTCGGTCGGTGTTATTGCACCTGAGTTTTCCAAGGCCAACGACGTAGCATTAATTTCGCGTGTCAGTGTTTTTACAGGGTTCGTTGCACATGGGACATAAAATTGTCGGTCTTCCAGTAAATCTTTGGTTTTTGAGGGTAGTCTGCCCTGTCCAGTACAACCGTGATGCGCCCCTTGTCCGCTGGAACAATGATGAGGCCTTTTCAGCCTTGAGTTCTCTAAGCGCATCACGTTCGACCTTGAACAGCACTTTGCGCGGCCTGTGGGCCATGAGGAGAGACGACACTTGGTGGCGGATGAGGCTCTTAGTCTCCTCGGTTGCTTCCGTCTGACAAAAAATTGATTCCACTGCTGCAATCATGTTAACAGGTTTGATGTCAGCCGTGTTAAATGAAGCTTCGTACCCTAACGCCTACATTTGATCCGCATCGGCGGAGTAATTAGCCACGCGGGGAACGCACAGGCGAACGATGCTCACAACCCCAGGGTTGGCGGGTCAAACAATGGTCGTGCAGTCATCATATCAACGTCAACACCGTGATGAAATTGCAGCGATTAACGACGCGAATGTCGGCCATCGAGCAATCAACACACCAAGTTCAAGAGTCCCCGAGGAAAGTAGGGAGTCGTGGATTTTCATGGGTATGCGGTAGCATGGCGACCGCATCCTGTAAATACTGCAGTCCCTCGTGCATGAGCCACCCGTATCTGCTATTGTCGCTGATGATGGATTCGAGCAAGAATCCGAAACGTCTGGCGAATAAAGCTCTTGGCCCAGCGGTCGTATCTCCTTCTTCACGAATGCTTCCTGGTACTCATCTTCTGAAGCTCTGTCTCAAAGCGTACTTCACATCTGAGAGATCAATCTACGAGCAGGTGAATGACACACTAATGGATTCGCTAATTTCTGGACTCATCGCCAAGGCGGTCCTGCAAAGGTTAGAATCGCTAGTCTTCCAAAACCACAGACCGAAATTCTGTGCTCGGTATGTGGATGACTCCTTTGTCATTATGGAGCGGGGTTAACTGCTGACATTCAAAGAACGCCTCAGCGCTGTCTTTCTGGGCATATAATTTACGATGAAGAAAGAAAAAAGCAACGCGGCGAAAACACGGACATGATTTTTGTTGCCCCTCAGCAGCAAGAGAAGCGCGGTAAATGCGGAGCAGTTGGCCTCGACTGACTGTAGCTAACTATGCTGAGATTCGGATGTCCGGAATGCTTCACGCGATCGGGGAGTAGAACGTCGCTATTGATGATTTCGGCCGTGTTCCTCACAGTGTGGTCGGTGTGGAGCGGTGACTTGCGAGTGGATAAGTTTATAATTATAGACTTGCGCAACATCCACCGCATTTTTTCTTTCCTCCCTCACGTGGGCCGGGGGGAGGCAAGACGATGCCAGGACGACCGAGGGAGGGCCCGAGCACGGCAGCTGACGAGGTCAAACAGCCCATCGACGTGTACCATACACGACATGGTCCCGCGCGAGGGACCAGGTTTTCAAAGTAACAAACAACAGATAGCTCGCGAGCCATCTCAAGTTGACTCTCCAACTTTAGAGGTCCGAGTTATCCCGTCACTCGGCACGTCTCCAAGCGACTACTTTAGCGTGTCGTAATAGTCCAGAGCGCGTCAGACTGTTTACAGTGAAAAAAGCGCTGGAAGTGCCGTGCAGGCGAAGTAGATCTCAACCACTTTTACCCTTCCCGCGCACCAGCCTGCTGTCCGATTCCGTGAGCCACCTGTTGTTAAGATTATTCGCAAGTGACTGGCACGTAGTTAGCCTTGCGCCTAGGCTTGCCATTACACCCCATATACAGCATTTGTTGCGGGATGCGCGAACTTCGCCCAATCAAACTAATGCGTCTCGTGCCCTAGTCTGGCCGCTGTGTTGGTCTAGCGTATCTTCTACGTGACCTATCTTAGAGCGGATGATAAGGCGTGCAAATGACAGGATGATGGTGCATCACGGACAACGATCCAGTATTGGTGACAGCTTCTGTGGAAAACGGGGTGAAATATGGCTACGCGTTCGCTCCAACCTCTTCATCTCTCCATGCCGATGGATGGCTACCGTGAGGAGCGGCTGAAAATTAATGCAGGATGCGAAACCGACGGATTGCTGCTCAAAATATTGTAGATGCGGGCATCTTCGAGGTCTCCAGTGTCAGTGCCCACGGCTTCTTGTTCGCGGATGATAGCATGCTAAACATCACAACGAAAGGACTGTCTCAGCTGCGGACCGACCATCAGCAGGGAGCCAAATGATGACCATAATTGGAACTCGATAGACGGATGGAATTGCAAGTCGATTCCCCAAAGCTCGTCAGGCCATCGACCACTCTGAGTCATCCGGCGACGCCCTGGCATCCTGCAAAAGTGAAACTGTTCAGAATTGTCCTAGCACCGCCCCTGTATGGGGCAGACAAAAGGGCAGTCTGCGAAAGCCAGGCACGAAGGTGCCTCAACTGCCCCTGAATAATTTTAAAAAAGGAAGCGGCAGCAAAGGATTCCAGTCAGACACCAAGGTCGCAGGATGAACCTCTGATCTCAGTATCAACGTTTTGCTGAGACAGGGGCAACTGTGGTGGAGTGTCCACATCGTGAGGATAGACGACGAGCGTTTATGCCACAACGACTTGGCTATGTGTGATTGCAGTCAGGGCACTTAAAAGTGAAGATGCAGACACGAAGTTAAAATCTCACTTAAATGCATGAAAGTTAACCCTCAGACTTGGAGTTTCTCGCACAGAATTAGTTGTCATAATTAATAGCCAGACAAGCTCGAGGAATCATTTTCAAAGTCAAGCGAGTACGCACTGCTCATGCCAAAAACAGACTTTCGGATTGAAATTCCCACATTGGTAATGAAAACTAAGGATACTAATTGGCTTCTTTTGACACCAACCGACCTAACACAATCCTCTCACGGTCAACCCTCCTCCTATCTCACGAAACATCATTATCACCTGCGTTCTGTCGTCCCTCGAATCATCGCCGTCGCACCTTCCGCGAGAAATGTACGCTCATTTCCAATCTGTACCCAATGCGACCTCACCTCGGCCAAGTTAATCACTTGCGAATTCATCGCACTGCGATGAATGAACCAGTACCTGAAGCCCCAAAATACACTCGCCACACGAGTCCCACCTGCCCGCCAAGTTTCAGTACATTCGAACATGACATGCTGCTCTTCACCTATACGGCATGCTCGAAAATTTCCAGTTGAATACCACAGTCAAGATCTCATTGCGACACCTCGCTCTGCCCGCACACACAAATATTACTGATACAGGCCATATGGTAAATGCGCTGGACCAACACGGGACTAGATCGCGGTCAAGTAGGCATTATTAAGAATGAGCACCTATAAAAGTCTCAACACTGCTGGTGTGGTGGCGGGTCCAAGTGTGGGCTCACGCCGCGTCTATTGGGATCCGGGGCCCCCTTTATTTCTTGGTGTATTAAATCCTGGTCAGTGTACGTGCTGGACCTAGGGTTGTGGTGGTACGCCTAGGTACGGGTTTTTGCTGTGTCAGCTACCTGTGCCCTCTCTCGCCTCAAGTCTACTTGACTCTGTCATGACACCGGGCCCATGTGTACGAGGAGGAGGGAACGTGGTAAGTGCTATTCAAGCCTACTATCACTATAAACGAATTCACGCGTAGGTCACCGTCCCTGCTCCCATCCTGTTGTGGAGCACACGGTGAATATCATCGACAAAGGCTGTCAAACTGTCGTGGGTACGCATAAACGGGTTGTTTAACTTAGTCTGCAGCTGCATTCAGTCTCATTTAAAGTCGGCATAACTCAGAAAAGTCATTGATGCATGAGCGAGGGAAGATAGTGAGATCGGGACTGAGGAATCTATCCCTACGGCACACCATCGCATTTCTCACCACCTTAAATCCGTCGTGGTTGGGTCCATCACAACGCGTTATTAATCGTAGCCTAGGAAGCTGGGCAATGACGGAGGTATTCGACCCTGCGCATTATTGAGAGTAAGGTTATAGTGGTTTCATCCTAACGTGACCTCTGCCACATTCTAGTCCGTGCAAAATCTGAAACCCACTCACTGCAGTCCGGTGCACTGGAGTTCAGAGGCATATCAAGCCTGACACTAGCAGAAGGGCTGTTCGGCTTTTTAGGCGCTGCGCCCACATCCACCGCCGATCCTCTTGACGTTGTCTTCCTTTTGGAACACGGTAGGCGTGGAAGTGGAGAATAGTGAGGAAAATATATCGAAAAAATGCTCTGCTATAGACGAATTTCCGTGCAGATTATTTCAAAGCCTCTTTGTACGCAATGGTGCACGTGTCGAACTCTGGAATCTACAGTAGATGTGCTAATGCTCCAGTTACCTCAGGGTGTCGGCTTTCGAAAGAACTTACTTTCGGCTGCATGCAAGATCTATACTCTGCAAAAATGACTACTTAAGTAGTAGGAAATTTTCTCATTGATTTTCTATGCCCTTGAAAATTCAATTATATTTCATGGAAAACATGCATTTAAATATTCATACTTATTCGGTAGAAAATCCCGTCTTCTTCTTATTT